CCAGTTTGGCTCAATCTCTAACATGCAAACTGGAGTATAACAGAGACGGATTTCAACATATCAAACATCACACTTAATAATAGGAAGCATGTAATATTCCTTACCGAACCTCAACATAATTAAAACAAATACAGATCTCTATTAAAACTTTTAAAATTCATTCACATACTCAAAAGTCTTTACATCTAGCATTCAGATCTCGTTTTAGATCTATTTGCACACCCAAGACGTATTTACATCAAAAGAACGGTCACCTCTTTTTATTATCCCAAGGGCTCCTTCCCCTTTCCTGTAGTACAACCACTGTTAATGAGCTTAGCTCAATGAAATACACAAGCAATTTATAAAAAATAATAATAAACCATTAAGAAATACCATAATAATGCTAACATAATTAAAACACATTGAAATATCATATTGAGCCTCAAAGTGCCTAGCAGTATTATTTATCTTGCCAAAATCATTCCACATCTTTAAATAAGTTATATAATGGCTATAGCTTTTGCACCATTTCAACTTTCCAATTCAAGGTTAGGTCTAATTTCCCAACTTTTTAGAATGGAAGCTGTTCTCTCATTCAGGGTTGAGTCAAATTTCTCAACTTCTAGAATTAAGAATGTAGGCTTACCTCATCAAATCTTTTGCCTTTACTTGTGCGGGCACATCCCCATATATAACTTATTTCACTTTTCATATAGTCATTCTTTTTAGCCCTAATTACATATGCTTTTAATGACATAGTTGCATTTTAGCTAGATGCTTTTCAGTTACCCTTTAGCTGCCATTTAGGTGCCCTTTAACTGCCCTTTAGTTGCCCTTTAGGTGTGCTTTAGGTGCCCTTTAGATGAGCTTTAGGTGCACTTTAGGTGCATTTTGGGTGCGCTTTAGGTGCACTTTAGCTGCCCTATTTGCTCATTCACTAATTTATGAATATTTACCCTTTTATGCTTACGAAATCTTTCACATTACTAAAGTTTACTCTTTACATAAACAACCATATTCATATAAAATAACTAAAATAAAATAGAATACATGTGATCATAAACATAATCAAGTTGAAGTGCAATAATAAAATAATTATTAATTCTTATAACCTTGTTTGGGTATCTCACCTCATGAGGAATTGGTTCTCCTATACTCTACCTTCTTTTTCTTTTGTAAACAACCTTCACTAAACTTTCTCATTTAACACAACACCTTTTTCAAATTTTGATCACCACTGTACAAGTTCATTCCTCCATATTCTTGAATTAAGCAACCACCACCTTCAGTTATATTTTAGAAATTCCAAAATTATAATTCAACACAAAGATTACAGAAATTGTTATCTCAGATTTCTGAAAGCTTAAAACTCCTACCTCAATTTCATTACCTGATAAATCAGCTACCAAACTTGAAATTCTCACACACAACCTGCCACTTTTAGCTCCAGTTCTCCCATGGCTCGCAGAGCTTCGTCTCTTGAATGGGAAGGAAAAATAAAATGAAAGAATGGCTACAAGTGTTGCTAATATAATAATATAACAATTCCACTAAGAATACATTCTTTATTATAATACTATATAATTAATTCCACTAAGCCACTATACATTAATGTTATCCGTTGGATGAAGTATGAGAGGGACCAGCCATTGCATGCCAAGCTAAGTGGAAATGCTACACTAACCGTAAATAGGAAAATGGATTATTTGCTTTAGCAATTAAATCATTTATTTAAATTAATGCTAAGTATTATTACAACTCATACTTTTAATTAAGTGTTTATAACAAACTCATTTAACTGATAACATGCCTTTTACATGAATACAGATAATTATATGTACTATAAGGATCAAAATTAAAATTAAAAGCTAATAAAATAATTTGACATTTTCCATATATGAAAAAAAATAATGAATGATTTTATTGAGAAATATTCCTACTTACTTTTAACAAACTTTGGGTATTATAACCCTCCCATTAATATTTCAAATTCCATTAATTCTTTTTCACTAGGACTATTGCTCCCCACTAAGAGTAGTCATAAATTTTTTTTGTCATATAAGGCTTTTTTGTTATCCCTGTAAGAGATATTGGGAAGTCAAATGCACTTTGCTTTCAATCTACCTACAAATACTAAAATTGGCCCTAACATGGTATCATATCTCCCTAGTCCACCCTCCATGGATGAAGCCTCTTGCTTCAATCTCACTTCTTTCTAGTTCATGTTGTTAGTTCTTGTATGCTTTAGCTTCATGAGAATATATGCTTTAGTATTTGAGGCGCTTGAGATTGTTAAAGAAGAAGGGATACATGATCAACAGTCAGTTGAAATAGGTGTTCTGATTGATATAATGAAATCCTTTGATTTTATTTTTATAATATATTTAATGATTGATATATTGGAAATTTCACATAAGTTATCATAATTATTACAAAGAAAAGATCAAGACATAAAAAATGCAATGAAATTGGTGAAAATTTCCAAATAATGACTACATATTTTGAGGGAGAATGGATGAATTGCTTTATTAGATGAAGTGTCACATTTTTGTAGTGTTTTTGAAGTTAAAGATCTAAATATGAATGATACATAAAAAAGTCATCATCGATTAATACAAAGATGTGAAGAAATTTCAATCATACATCCTTTTTTGTTGAGCTATTCTACACATTAGTTGAAATGAAACTTCAAAAGCTAAATAATCATATTTTTTAATCTAGTACTGAGTTACTTCTTTGTATAACATGCTTAAATCCAACTGATTCCTTCAATGCTTATAATGAAAGGAAATTGATACGTCTAGGAGGATTATATCCAAGTGATTTATCTATCGTTGACCTTATGGCTCTTAAAAGTCAATTATCAACTTATATCATTGATATGTACACTGATAATGAGTTCTCATCTCTAAACAATATTATTGATATTGCAAAGTAAATTATTAATGTCAAGAAAGATCATGTGTATACTCTAGTTTACATACTTATTACTTTAGCATTAACTTTACCAATTGCTACTGCTATAGTGCAAAGAACATTTTTTACAATGAAGATTATCAAACATTGATTACGTAGTAGGATAAGTGATGATTAACTTAGTGATTTTCTAGTACCTTACAGTGAAATATATATGTTCAATTTGATTCATGATGAGATTGTAATACTATATTATCATAGATTATTAAGCTTGTAATAATTTTTAATTTATATATTATAATGTAATTTAAAATTTAACTTTGAATTATGTCTTCATTTTTTTATCCATTTATTTTAGCTAGTTGTAATTTTTAACCAGGCATATACTAATGACTTATTGTTAAGATCTTTATTTTCTCATTTCTCTCCAAAATTTGCTTCAAATGAGGAGGTCATTTAGCAATGTCTTTTAGATTTTTTTTTTTTAATTTCATATCTAAAATATATAAAATATTGAAGACAATTCAAAATGGTTGGTGTAGTTTGAATTTAAAACTAGAAATCTTGTATTGTGTTAGAGCATCTCCAACCGAACGCCAAACGAGCATAGCTGCGAAGTTATTTTTATTAGTCAGGTTAGTTGGAATATTTGCTCGTGTTACTATAAGGAACTTTTAGCTTATTTCTGATTTCAAAAATTTTGTATTTTTGATATTTTTTTATTCAAATTTGTATTTCTGTTATTAAACAACTTGAATAACTTTATATTGGCAAAACTTTCACTGTGAAACTTTTTGTATGTTATAGATATCATGATTATGAGTATTTTTAGTATTTATTTAAGATTTTTTTATATAATAATTTTGAAAATATAGTGATTTTTGTCTACCTCAAAATTTATTTTGATTTTTAAAAATAGTATTGTAGTACAATAAAAGTTTTAAAATGTAATTTTATACAATTCATAATATTTTGATAAATTTTTGAAAATGTGTATTTTTGTCTAATAAGATTATTTGTTGTTACCATTGTGATATTTTAACATATATTCTTAATTAAGCTCAATTATGTATTATTTGCTGCAATGCATTAAAAATAGATATAGATATATAATTGAGTAATAACTAGTGTCTATTACTGTTATAGTATTGTTATAATAATGTGTATGAGTGAAATAAATAAGTAAAAATTGGTTGCACATTGGTTGAAGGCTGATTGATCTGTACATGATGTGAGCCTATAGGCTTTCTTTTAAATAATATGGTTTGGTGTTATCCTCTACTAATTCACGTAATACACTGATTATAAGTTATAAAGAAATTACTACTGTACCGATGGGCAAAGAGTGACGAATCTATTTACTGAGCCAATTGTTTACTAACACTGATACTAATACTAAAAACATCGTGATAGCCAGGAATATTTACCTGTTTAATGTGGCTACTGAAATGCTTATTTTAAAAGCATTTTTTTTATTATTATATGAATTTATTATTACTACATGAATTTACTATTATTATATTATTCTATTACTCTTGTCATTGGATTATTAGTGATATAGATACTAATACTATTTAATATTATTGATTTATTGTACTGATGTTAAGCATGTGATATAAAATAACTTGATAGCATGTGTACATTTTTATATGATTTTACTATAATTATCTGATTTCAATAGTATTTACTAATGTTTTGATTTGATACTTTATATAATTTATGTACTTATTGGTATTACAGATATGGTGATTACTTTATATATTTAAAACTCATACTTATTTATTGTTTTACTAGCTTTTGTTCTATAGTATTTTTCTATTTATAGATTTTACTACTATATATATATATATATATATATATGAATTTTATTTATTTTTAAGTCTTAAAATTCATAGAATTATGAAAATTTTAAGTTTAAATTGACATCATTATTATGTTAATTTTATTAAATTTTTATAATATTATTATTTATTACTTCATCCGATTCGACCCCAATTCAAATGATCGAACTTCTCATTCTTTTGATTTGTTGTCCTATCGAATATTCACAACCTTGAATGTGAGCATGGTAGATAAACAAACGGGAGCCCGACTAAGCCGAAGCTCACACGGAGTCTGGATCGATTGATCGGCTAAATGTTCTGTCATTTAAGCTATCATCCGTCTCTCCCGTCGAATCACTGCTCTCTCCTCTCTCTCCTTTTCTGCTAGTTCGCCGCGCATGCCTCCCTTATTATGATCTCCTGGCCCCTCGGCACCCAACTCCCGTCCGCGTCCAATCTGCAGTGAACGCCTTTTATTTAAGCCGCCTGCGAAAACCTACTATTTACTCCAAACTCTTCACCCTGACCAGGTCCTTTGGACAGCTCGAAAAATGGTGCCAGCGAGGGCTGGATGGGATATGAAAGGCACTGGTGGGTGACAGTGGCTGCGGGGTAGGAAGAAGGAGGACGATGCTCTACGCTTCCTTCCTTCGTGGCCGCTTCTGGATGCGCGCTCGGATGACTACGAGTTTTGTGCCCTCCGCCACTATTCGCACGCCGTCCATCTTCTCCCGGAATCGTAGAATCCCTTTCTCTTTCGCGGCCGGAGAAACGCCGATGAAGGCTGGGATTTACGTGCCGCCAATCCAGCGGCTTCGGTCGGTTATAGCTTCTGCTAATGAGAGTGTCGTCAGTACCTCACGCTCAGCCGACTATGATTGGCGCGACTCTCTCCGGCAGCTCCCCTCGTCGATTGAAGCAGACAGATTTCCGTACTACCGCCAGCAGAGCTCACATTACGCGAGGTATGCATACGAGGATTACTCGGATGATGAGTCCGATAGGGACGTTGATGTTTCTTCAACTTCAGGCAAGGTTAGATCAGTTTTTGTTAAATTTATATTTTTATTGGAAGCTGGCCAATGTCTTGACAGATGACCGTTTTTCAAGTGAAAATTTTCTTATATTCCATTATGCTCTTATATGTTTAACTCTGATGAAGAAATTCTCACTATGAGTTCCAGTTTGTAGCTGTCAACTCCAAGGTTTAAAATTGCGCAATTGGGTATTGAGGTATTTTTCGTTTGTGAGGCGAGGAGCAAGCCTCAATGTGTTTTGTGACGTAAGCCTCAAAATCTAAAAAATTGTGTAAAGTGAAAATAAAAATTAAAAATGATTTTTATATAATATCTAAATAATATGTTAAAGGATGACATACTAACTTCTATTGAACTATGAAGTAACAAATTTACATACATATAAAATAAAAAATTGCATAAGATATAAAGTGGTAAGTGAAAAATTATGTGAAATATAAATATTACAGGAGCAAAATAAAATAAAATATATGAATTAAATATAATTATAATATAATATCAAGTTTAACTCTAATTTTTTTCTGAGTTCCCTACTCATTTACGTTTAATTCTTAAAGAAAGCTAAAATAATTGACAACTCAGAAATCATCTGTATTATCATTACTAAGTGGATTTTTATTTGAGTCGTTGTCATAACAAATTGTTCTCTCTCCTGGCTCATCTTGTAGGGTGGATACCTCTCAATATATTTCTTCTTCATTTATTTTAGTTAGTCTTCATCTTTCATAAATATTTGTCACAAACATAAATATAAGAGTTATGCTCCAAAAATTTTAGAGGAGATAGTGGTGTCGTGCGACTTTCAAGTAATCCCCTGTGAACGCTACAATTGTAGTGGCTTTGGTGCAGGCGGAGGGCAAGAAAGTTGCAGCGGCTTAGGGGTGCAAGAAGTCATGATTTTTTGAGGCTTTTGTATAGGATTTGAGTAAGTTTTAAATTAAAAAAATACACAAATAGAGTGAGGCGTAAGCTTTATGCCAGCAAGGCAAGGCACGCCTCAAAGCGGGCCTCAGCCAAGATGAGGCGTAAGCCTCATAAAAAAAGTTCAAGACGTAATCCACGAGTCTTTTTGCACCAGAATTGCGCTGAGGCGGGCCAAAATACACAAAAACCTCACATTGAAAACCAATCGGTGAAATTTCAAACTAAACTAATCAAAATTTTCATATTATAAAAAAAACATTTATACAAAGAAAAGTCGATGAAACCCAAATAAAATGACTAAAACCCCTAACTTTTTATTAATCCAACCAAACTGAAAATTGAAATAGAAGAACACAAGTTGACCTTGAGCTCTTTGATATCCCTAACTATCTTGACGGACAAATCCGGCATTGTAGCCTCTAAAACCTTTTTTTTTTCTTTCTCTCTCCTCTTCTCCTCTACATTCCTTTCTCCTACAGTTGGGTGAGTTGAGTGAGATTATGAAAATGGATTTAGATATTTTACATATAAAAACCTCATTTTTGGTCCAGTGCCACAGTGCCACACTTTCCAGTGCCATAGCACTCGCTAGAATATTCTAGATCTTATCAGGTAGAGAACTCAATGCAGCAACGCTCATTACAGTGCTTTGCGCTCCCAAAAGCTCGCCCCCTCCGAACAGAGACTTCAACGCCACAGCGTTGCCACTCGTACTGCCGCTATGCACCCCAAAACTTCTCTCTCAGACAGGAGGGAATAGCCGTTGCCCCTCAAGACCAACACCATAGTGTTCCCATAAGGATTTCTTCCCCTTTAATCCCTGAATTATCTATTCAACTTTAGGCCCCTTTTTATTAGTTTAATATATTTAAAGATGAATACATGATCCTTACCATATTCTGTAGTAGCATGTATTAAAGCCCTTATCTTGCTATATTCATTTTGGATGCTTTGATAACGATTCATTTCTTTCCAAAAGCTTTGTAGTAGATTGGAGTATTCTGTGATGTTTTTTCTCTTGTTTTGTGGACAAAATTTTGATTATGATCTTATAGATTTGGGTTGCATCTTGCTCTCAAAATATTTTTGATTTACTATATTCTAAAATTCCTTTGTTGAATGAACATGTAGGTAGCACTTATTTTAAAAACTATGGATTTCCATGCTTTGGCCAGAACCATGGTGTTTTGTTTATCCCAAGTATTGAATGTGGGATTACCTTACTGAGGTTAGGTGTTTAAGTAAATAGCCCAATTGGTTCATACTTCCTTTTAAGAAGTATAAACCAATTGTGCCAACTTGAGGTAATTCTTTCCTTTAGAACAATATGTTGAATGGATGCTTCATAATTATTGCATTAGATTTGGGTTGCTTGTCTTGATTTCAAATGAACCTAAGACCAATGAAACATGTATTTTCGTGATGCATGGAAAAGAAACATGTTGTAGTAATTGGTTGCAAAAGAGAAAGAAGCATAGATTTACGCTATAATGATGATTGCTACAAATAAGAAAATTAGGTGGAACTAAAAGAGACATTAGGCAATGAATGTTTGCAAATTGTAGGCAATGCAATAATGAACTTTGCGACTAAGGGAAATGCTGAGAAAAATATCATGATAGGAATTGGACAAAATTTATTGTGTATTTCATAACATTTGTATAATATTTATACAATCCTACGAGAGCTTCTAAAAGGAAACATGTAAAATCAGAGAATATATTTACATAATAATTAAAAGAGTCCACGGATTAATGAGTAATAATAGTATTATACTGATTGATGATGTTGCATTAATAATCCCACAAACCACTTTTTTTTTTATTTAAGAAAATGTGGTCCCCGACATTATAATCCCACAAACCACTTGGGTGATATAAGTGAATAAAAATGTGGGGCATTGCTGGGCTTGATTGAACATTGATGGAGGTGGTATTGATGGAGATTGATTTTTCACCGGATACTATAAAATTGTCCAAGCAGGGGACACGAATATGACATTTAAAAGTTTCCAAGAGTGTTGTTGCTTTGTAGGCTTGTTTAGTCTAGAACAAGTTTGTTTGTTTTCTAATTGTGAATTTGAGATGCTAGGAGTTTTCTTTCGTAGTTTAGTTCAGAAATGACCAAATTGTTTCAATTATGCTTCTTAGTCTTTAGAATAGGAGGAAGACATGTTTATATATAATATTTGGGTCCAAGGACCCTTCTAAGATGAAATTAGTCAGAAGATTTTGAATTAAATATGCCTTGCATGAGAACTGTATCTAACAGTAATTGTTCTCTAAATCACATTTTATACATGCTAGTTGTTCTTTTTTTTAATTGATAGTTCCATATGTATGTTTGATGTTAGATTAGTACTACTCTCTTTGTTGTTTATTATTACTCTGCAGTTTATGCAAACAATTCAGAATGGTTTACCTTAAACAAGAGAACTGTGAATCAGAATGAGAAACTAAATCCTTGCTCATTGGAAAAAAAATAATGATTACCCCCCTTGTGGTGTGAAATAAACTGTTACACTACTTATGAGCATTCTATGCATGTGAATTTGTTATCTTTCTTTCTGGAACCGTACATGTTACTAAATTGTTCATAGCTTGATGCTGAAGGTGATGCAAGATGTGTTTAGGGGTCTAATATTTGTGATGTAGGCAAACAGTGCGAATATGAAAATTGCACTAATTAGCAGAATTGGAATTTGTCATTTCAAAGACCATTAGTTAGAACAAGAACATTTCTTCTTTTTATGGAAATTGCAAAAAATTTAAAGCCACAAATCCTACAATTTTATTAGAATCCAGCTAAGATTAGGAAATCAATTGTAGCTAATTTGACTAAAACTAATCACACTTGCAAAATCAAAATCTAATTTATGTATATATAAGAGAGCTAATTTTAGGATATTACCAAACACAAAAAATCGTTGCCTCACGCTGATACAATGAGATGACATCCCCAAAAAGTTGTTAGTCACTCTTGTATCACACTTGAAGGAATCAACATTCAACTAAATATATAAGATTAAGAAGTACAGGAAATTTCATTTCACCAAGTTTATAATACATACCTCTGATATGATATTTATAATTATCACATACTAAAATAAATAAACTAAAATTAAAAATACTAAATAAACCTTGAAAATACTGAAAGTACACTGAAATATTGTTTAGATTATTTATTTGCTTAATGTTTTTGACGAGCATAAACTTATTTGATACCTTTCGAAGGAATCTATGTTGAGCTTTCCCTCATTGTATCTATATGACAATTTTGTGATTATTCTGGCATGGGCATTGTTTTGTTGGTTAAAATTGCATTTGCATGTTAGCTTTATGATGATGAATAATAACTTTTTTTAAGCAATGGTGGCCTCAAATTTGATGGACTCTATTTGGTGGAGTGCCTTTTGTAATACTTATATGAACAACCTATTTTTTGTATTACATGGTAACCATAACTGTTACAAAGTAATAATGAATAGGTTGGAACTTAAAAATGCAAATAAGATAAGGTTACCGGTTTTTCCATGTATATGAAATGTATGCATGTAATAAAGTTGTTATTAGATAATACATTTAATTATATTTGCCAATAACAAAAAACACACTATAGCTCAAATATCCCACAAAGTCATAGCACATAGCACGAAGTATGCCATTTAAAAATAATGTTTAGTGAAAGATCATGAATAGTTTATTAAAAGTCAACAATATAAGAGAAAAATATCATAATCTTAAAAAGATACTATCAATGCATTATAAGGTGAATACAATATTTCTCTAATACATTAAATATGTGAACCAAGGGCTTGTGCAAATTTGCTATTGTCATATTAATTTTAGAATAATATCATAGAAGTTCATGCCATGGTATGATTCAGGTGAAGACTAATGAGTTGTGGGAATATAAAACAATAAGAGCATGAAATTGTTTCACAACTTGGAGTAGACATGACTAAGCATCAATTCTTGACCAGTATGACTTAGTTGATGCCATGCCAACCTTATATGATACATCTTTGATTCACAATTTAATCTTCATAAACCGTCATTCTTTAATATCTGACAT